ATATATATATATATATATATTAAAAATATATATTAATTTTTAATATAAAAAAAATATTATATATTTATTATAAATATATATATATATATATATATATATATATATATATATATATATATATATATATATATATATATATATATATAAATTAGTGTGTTTCATGTTTAAACAAATGTCAAGAATATATGGTTATACTTTTTATATATAAAGTATAACTATATTTCATATATCTCTTCATTTGCCAACTCCATTTGTCAAATACTAGAATTTAAATAGTTGCTATTCCTTAAACTATTTCTAGAAACTATGATGGCCTGGGATATGAAGGAACATAATGAGGAGACACTTGTGGATTTGTAAGTAGTGCAATTTATTTTTGATCCCTTTGTATAAAGCGTTTCACATGCACAATTTCTGGAGGATTGGCATGTTGAATATCATGCCAAATTTCATAAACTTATAGTCAAACTTACTATAACACTTGATATAGCCCCTTTTATTGAGCAAAGAGCCTTTCAGATCCAAGGGATCTGGAGAGGGAATAGTAAAGCAAGGAAACACAATAAGTAGTCATGGAGAGATATAAGTGATAAAAGCAGAAATAGAAGTACATAAATAAATTGGAATAAAAATAAAAGAAATGAAAAGATTTAAGATTCCTCCTCAACTTTCCATAACTGCCTTTGATGCTTATAGATTAAACATGCAAAAAAGACAAGTATGGTAAACAAGCACCTTTTCTAATTCATTTGCCATTCATTTAAGTTTCCCATACTGAGGCATCACTTCCAAGTTTCATATAATTAGGTCACAAGGATCTGTACATACAAGCAAATATTTCATCATCTTGCCAAAATACCCATTAGCAAAATTGAAAGTCTCAGGAAAAAAAATTATAAACTATATACACGGTATCTGTATATACTATATAGATACAATGTTTGTATACCTCAGTAATATGAAATTATCAAGTTCTATAACTTTTTTGCCAACAAATGATATGTGCTCTTGAACCACCTTGAGCAAAGTTTTTCCATCACTTTGCCTTGACACGAGTCTGAGCACCGGCATAAAGTAGGACTCATTACAAAGCTAGTAACTAGGCTCCCAAACTTCCCATGGTGACTACATAATACAATTGGATGATATGGTGAAGATTTGTGAATTTCCTCTATATTTGTAGGGTGATATGGCATTGTGATTTACAAACTTTGCAACATCTAGTATCTAGTTGGCTTTGACAAGCTCTTTCCCTTGTCAATGGGGGTGAGAATGTGGCATACTTTCGAGGATGCATGAAGAACTTGCTAGCTCAAGTGAATCCAAATATGTATGAGTCTATCAAGTTGGGCCTGTTTTATTTGTTTGTAGCCCATATGCAGCATTCATTCATGGATATTGTCTACAAAACCCTGACAATACCAATGTGATTGCACAAAGTGTACAGGAAATAGAGGTCTTAGCACCACATCCACATAGTATGCATTTCTTTCCTCATTTCATGGCCATCCATATTATTTTGGGAGATAATAATATGATAATGATATAATGGGATATTATTTGGGATATTATTATAAATACTAGAGATATTATTAATTATTTCTATGAGGTTCAGATGTATAGCTATGATGGCATATACTATTATTAGCGTAACTCCTATGTATAAACTAGGGTTTTTTGCTCTTATTGTGTTTTATGTTTTTGCATCATCTAGATTTCTCTTGTTCTTATAGCTTTTTCATTTCTTCTCTTTTTTTTTCTTCTTTTCATTTATTTTTATGGTAGAGTAGTGTACTCCTCCTTTGCAGCAACCTCCTTCTCCTCTTACTTGGTGTAATTACTTGAAGCTATGTGGCTGCAATTGAATAATTAAACTTAGTTGATAGTAGTGTTTGTAACAATCTTCCAGATGATATGTACCATTAGTTTGATAATTTTAAAATGATTGCCACCTATCATTCTTGGGATGATACCTAGCATCTAACGGGAGTTTCTCACATATCTTTAAATGATAGCATTGCAATGGTACAATAGTTTAAGCATAATCAATTGTGCAAATTGAAGTCTTCTCTCAGGTGTCTTCAAGTGCATATTTAGATATACTAACAATAGTGATAATGCCTTCTAACAATTGCATCATCTTTGTTAAAGGCCATTTAAGATGCTTATATAATTTGGCGTTTGCTTTCAGAGCCTCTTCTTTGGTATGAAACTAAATATGTTAGAGCGAATCAAGTTAGGCATATTGTGGCCAGCTCTTTGTCAAGATCTTGTGAGACTTATGCATACACTTACCCTAAACAATAGTCTTTGATTGGCATAATGTTATAAGATATCATCTCTCCCACTTAGCTATATGTGCTTCAATTCCACTTCTTATGAGAGATACTTATATTCTAATGGAGATTAATACTATTATTGCCTATGTTAGGGTGAAGATGTAGTCATAGCTGTGATGTTTATTGCTGGGGGAGATGGTCCAAAGTTGAGTTGAGCTCACGAGTTGAGCTCAATTACAAGTCAACTCAAATCAACATGGTCAACTAAAATTTCTACAAAGGAAATTTAAATTGAATAAATGAAGGTTCTAGCAAACTTTAAAATATTTAATATATAAATATCTAAGTAAATATTTAAGATAAAAGTTTCTATAAGATTGAATTGTTTAGAAAAGACAAAGTTCACGAGAACTTACCTTTTGGAAAGCTATATTATTTTATTATGACTATTGTTACAATTATCATATTTTGATTTGACTACTTAATATTTTGAATACTTTTACAATTGTAGATACTATTTCTTCATTCAAAAGATTTTTTAAGGTTTTTGAGAAAATGGGAAGCAAAGAAAATATAAGATCTGTAAGTAAGAGTTGTAGTGCAAAGGAATGTAAGAATGTTAATTTTGTTTCACTACCACAACCTCTATATTACACTCTTGGTTTTTATTACCCATTTAAGAATGTAGAGACCACTATCACGATTGATAAAAATGCTTCTATTACTTCTAAAACAATAATCTAAAGCAAGAGAAATGAAGAAATGAATAGCATGGCAGAAAACACCAAGAAATCTACTCTATAAAACTTTTTATGACATTTGTAATTTATGTTTTAATTCATATCAAAAGCTCTGTTGCCTGCCTATATCGCAATCCTCTCATATGATAAGACCAAGGTATGTTTTTGCAGTGAATCCTCATTAAAATTTTTCAGGAGTTGTTTGTGAATAATAATTAAAAAATCAAAATTTTTCAAAAGACTCAAAAGTAATATCACATCAAAGAATCAATTTTATCTACATTTCCAAGACTGAAAGGCAATCTCACATGAGAGAATAGTAGTGTGCCAATGTGCTTTGCCACTATAATATAATTTATATTTCCTTGCAAGCGTGCCAATGTGCTTTGCCACTATAATATAATTTATATTTCCTTGCAGTCTACTTCCCTAGATATTTGGCATGCGTAGAAAAGAATATATATATATAGCAAAGTAGGATTTCATTATAATGATAGAGCATATGTATACACGATAATCTAAAATTCTAGAAGCTCTTATGTTTACAAGCAAGTTATGATTATGAAGCCCCATTTCCAAGACTACCAAGGGCTAGATACGGTGGATGTGAATGGTGACAATAATGAAGAATTTCACTTATATTACATGAAAGCCATGCTTGTGTTTACAAATAGAATTATCTAACTTATTTTTATATATATACACACAATATGAGATGGTATAATTTATATATATAGATAATTTAAAATTTATATAAGCTCTTTATTTGAAATTCAATGGTTATAATTTATACTTATAAAAAGACTTAGACTCCTTATTTAGTTTTTTCATATTTGTTTTAAAATTAAATCTCATCCATTATATTTTTGATAAATAGACAAAATTGAATATAAAACAGGTTTATATTAATATTAGGTAAAGGTTATTAATATTAACCTATAGAAAACCTGGGTGTAACGAATATTTCTAGAATATTCAAGATACTTATTCAATATCATAACTTGATATCAGAGTCACAGTTCTTTCTAAGCACGCTCTCCCTGGTGAAGGTGGCCAGGGGCCTCACATCCAAATCGCACCTCTCCACAAACTTCAGCCTGGGCGTCTTGAGCTTCCCGATCTGGAACCGGATCTTCACTCGAATCACCACCCGGAACGAGATCCTCTGCTGCGCCAGCGCCCTCAGCAAGCTGGAGGCCACCGCCCGCGGCAGCACCACGCCGTCCGACTCCACGTCCTTCTCCACGCTCGCCAAGGCTGAGCGCTTGGCCTGCGAGAACCCCGCGAGCACAGCCTCGCCCACCCGGATGTCGTCGAAGAAGACGTTGAGGTGGATGTCATCGAAGAGGATCTTGAGGCGCGTGTTTGGATTGGCCACGTCGAGGATCAAGCCCAGGTCCGCCTTGAGGAGCGCCGTGGAGAAGAAGGTGGTGGGCGAGGCTATGACGGCCCCGAGGTGCCGGACGGCGATGTCGCGGATGTGGACCTTGGGCGATTTGGGGTGGAAGGCGATGTAAGTGACGAGCAGCAGGCACGCGAAGAGCAAGCCGAGGATGAGGAGAATGGTGACGATCCATGTCAGGATCGCGATGGCGGGATTGGGGTGGCACAGGTACCTGGAGGCGAAGTTCTTGTGGGCGTCGTGCTCGTCTTGTTGTTCCATTTGCTCCTTTGATCTGTCAGTGTCTGTGCTCACTCCTGTTTGATCCAAGTGATGTGTTTCGCGGAGAAGGTGCCAAGGCATCAGTGTGTTTGACGCATTGTGAGCTTTAAGCTGTTTGCTTTGATCTCAATCGAAAGCATAACTTTACACTCGGCAACAAGAGAGGAAAGCAAAATGTTACAAACTCTCTAGTTTTTTAATTTGCTTGTTAGATCTTTGTTTTCCTGTAGAAGCATAACACTTCGTGTTTCTCAAGAAACTTTTTCTCGAGCATTGTGTTTGAGTTTTAAACTCCAGGATTGCCAGAGAAACAAATTCTTTCATTTGTGTTCTCTCTCCATACTTGTCTTTCTTACGCTCCAGAGATCGTCTAGATCGTAGATGATATTTCTACTAGATGATCGATGGGAGGTAAAACTCACAGCTTGGAGGTAAACAACGATGGCCGCGAGAAGTACTTGGTGTGATGCCCACTCGCCACAATCTCGCCATTCTTCCCAGCTCTCCTCACCTCGGCCGATAGCATCACAACGTTCTTCCCCTTCTTCAAAACTTTAGACTCGATCTCGAGCTCATCCTGGGAGAGAAAAGGAAACCAGTTTAAGAGTTCTTGGATCCTTGCTCTTGACTCCAAACTCACATCGATCCTGGCGGCCGAGACGTAAGTGATGCTGAGGTCGATCGAGACGCCCGTGTTAGTGCCACCCACTGTGAGCACCGCCATGGTGCTCACGCAGTCGATGAGCGTGGCAATGGCTCCACCGTGGAGCGTTCCATATCCATTCTACAAACACAGTTATACCGGAGAGGGGATCACGGATCTTACTACATACGGCGAGATTGGCGGGCACGCGAATGGCGCAGAGGATCCGGCCTGCGTCGGCGGCCTTGATCTCCACTCGCTCGAGGACACGCGCATCAAAGCCACCGGGAGAGCTCCTGAGCGCCTCCAAGACTGCACGGCCTGCTGCCAACGCCATAGCTAATTAGGGCTCTATTATAATTCATAGTTACTTTTATCCAGGTCCTTTTAACAGTAAACTTTTGCTTTATAGAAAATATAATTTTCTAGCTTAAAAGGTACAGGGAAAACGTTATTTGTTTAAGTTAACTTAATTAATGTATTAATATTAACTGTTTTAACCTTATTTTAACCTTTGGTACTTTTTTGTACTTTCGCTCATTTTGTTTTTGTGAAGCCTGACCGGCTCTTGTCAATGGCGGCCATAGTTTTCTTTAGTTTTCTTTGGCGACATTTACGTATATGCACGAGGCCTTGCACGATAAGTCGTAAAACTGGACCTGGCCTCACCTCAACTCCACACAAATAAAAAAGAAGAAATCCATTCATTCCAACGCAGTCACTGTTTTGTCTGTTCAATGGCCAGCGAAACATCCAAAGGTACGTGTGTAGTAGAAAGAACTCTCCCAAATCCTTAAAGTTGACGACTCTCATGCTAGATGCTCGAGCCGACCACGCGCGTTTCTTCTACTCCTACATTCCTGGAGTGCAGCAGTACAACGATTCGGGCTCTCGTGCCGTCAGGGACCTCTCGGCCTGGAAGCCAGCGCTCAAGAATCCACTCCCCCAGTATCTGGGACAAACTCCCGCCGCCGGCCATCTCCAAAAGCCGGCCTTCTCCTTCCTCTCGGGAGCCCAGGGCACCATCGCTGTTCTTGGCGGTCCCCAGTGGTGGGAGCAAATCTGGGGCAGCAGCCGCGCCGACGACTACACCGTCTGGGGGATCAAGAAGGACAAAGTTCCCATCGGCTTCCACTGCCTGTCTCCGGCCTTCTTCAAGAAAGATCGTGGACGAGCTCCTCCCACCACCTCGGAAGTTCAAGGCCAGGTCCTTGTCAAGAGCGATCTCGTCCAGTTCATCGATGCCGGGGCGCTGGTGCTCGTCTGGAATGACCGCGGAAGCGGGGCCAGCCAGGATGTCTCCATCTACACCTTGCCGGATCATCTCGGAGCTTTTGCTTTCCCGAACTATGATCCTCCTCCCAAGGGGACGTCGTACCCGATGATAAATCTCAGCAAGGGCCTGCTTGTCAAGCCCCCAAAGTGAAAAAGGCTAGCGAGAGCGAAGGTGACTCGGGCAATACAAACGAAAGTTGTGTGAAGTATGTGTGATGGAAATAAGACAAAAACGAACTTACAGGCGTGATATACTCTTTTCCTATCAAAGTCGCGTTAACTACATACACAATCTGGAAACTGTGAGATAGTTCTTCAAAAAAGACATGCCTTTTAATCTTCTTCTCAGTAGGATTTTGGCCTTTTGCCGACGAGAATCCTGGAGATCTGGAGGCCTCTGCTGAAGGCCTGGTTGAAAAGGATCCTCGTCTGCATTGCCTGGAATCCTGGCAGCCAAGATAGAACCGCGGTCGGAACCATGACTAAGATCCCAATGCCGAGCTCGTAGAGGCGAGCCACCGTCACCACCGTTGGCCACATTCCTGTTCTCTCGAGAAAAGGCCTTCGCAGCACCTGTGCAATCTGTAGCAGTCCCCAACCAGTGGGGAGGAAAGCCAACAAGCTGACGATCAAGTCCAAGAACCTAAAGCTTGTAAGCTCGATGAGGAGGATGAGCACCAGCACCGAGAAGAACAACGCGAATGCCTGGATTGCTCTGTAAGTGAGGTGCTCCCTCGTCGCGTACTTCTCGTGAGCGAAGGATAGTATCTTGTGAAGCAAGAACGCCACCACCACGTATATCCACGAGAGGAGATAAACCAGAATACTGGTGCTGTGGTTCGCGATGCCAAGCTGGTAGACAATGCCGTATTGGAAGAAGAAGAAGCGCAGGGAGAGGATCACCTCGAAAACTTTTCCCCATATGCCTGTCGTTCGCAAATGATCCTGCTCTTCGTCCCACCAAGATTCCCAGCTCTGGTCAGCCTTTACCAGGACCCCTCCTCTGTAGAACACCCAGTTGAAGAAATCCTCGTAGTCGTCCACGGTTTTGAGCCAGTCGAATCCCGACGGGTTGAAAACGAATGGTGCCAGGATCCATGTCAGTGCCAAGAACCAGCTTGAGAATGTGAGAAGAATGTAGACCACTGTGTCCTTGCTGAAGGAACCGTATGCCTCGTAAACGACCAGGAGAAGGGCGAGTTCGAGGCCTTTGATGAAGTGGCTTCTTGAGTAGAGCCTGTAGTTCTCCGCAAACCGCTCGTGCTTCACAACAAATCCTCGTCCGGTTGCACGATACTGCATCCAGAAAAACAAAACTATTAAACGGCAAGCCACACAATGCGTAAAACTGAATTACCTTGGCACCGCCATGAAGAAGAGTTCTTCCAAAATAGTGAGTCTTGGTGCCCATAGAAAATGTGAAAAACATAGAGGCTAGTTGAAGCTGGATAGTAAAAAAGTCCCAGACGGCCTTTGAGAATCCTCGCTCAATGGAGTTCTCCACAATCATTGGGAGCGCAGTGAAAAGTCCCAGCTGCACGATAAACTGCTGATTCAGTGCTGCCGTGAGAGCGCTGTTACTAGTTGAACTGGACAGAAGTCCACGCTCAACTCCGCTCAAAGCCAGATATACTCGGCCCCAGAGAAAAGCATACACCGTCAGGACCACCATCATGTTGTTCAAGTAAAACCCGACTGTTGTGTAGTAGAAAGAAAGCATGCGGAAAAAGTCCAGTCGGTGTCCAAGGCGATAAACATCCCGGCTCAAAGTTTGTTCACCGTTGCCACTGGCCACCTTAGCCTCAAATAGAGCTATCTGATTTAATCCAACATCTCGACCCTTGCCAACCTATACAGAAGACATGAGGTGTAAGTATGTCACTGCTAAAATAGCCACAAACCTGGATGTATTCGTGGTGAGTAACGTTTCCTCCCCTGAGAGTGCAGTTAAAACCCGCAAAAATGTCCTCGCTGATGTTGATAACTCTCGAAGCCTTGCTAATTCCACCTCGGGAGATAAACCAGAGCCTGTCGAAGACGTCTGGATGCCCGTAATGCATTCTCACTTTGAGTGGATTAGCTAAGACTCGCTGGCCAAGTGTAACAAAACTAGATTCTTGAGATGACATGAAATGCGCGAGTGAGGAGACTGATCCCGTAAAGACATGCTCACGAACTCCAAGAATAGTAGGCTTTCGCATACCATAATAGCGCGTGAACTCTTGGAGCAAGTTTCGCATTTTCAGCGCTTCTTCAAAATAGTTATCCTGTAAAAACGGAGAGGCTTAGCACAAATATGTCTAATATTATAGAGCATACCTGATTCATGTCAATCGTCTGAACAGCTTCGCCTCTGGTAAAGATTAAAGCGTGGTTCTGGTTCTCAGGCTTCCCTTCGCCTAGCTTTAGTGGACCAGGTAACTGGATCCTGTAAATCTCAACCTCTTGATTGCTGGCAGGATCGTATTTAACGAGAACCGAGTAGAAAGTTTTCGCGTCTCGTCCCGGAACCTCGTCCACGTATGCAATGCGCAAAGCTTCGAACTTCTGCATGAGGAAAAGTATCTCTTCTGCCTGGTGTTCGTTCTTGGCTTTCTGGTTGCCATATATCTGACAGGCCACCACGTACGTGAACTTCAAGCTTGACGCTGCTCGGTATTGCTCCTCCTTGTAAAGCGAGCCGCTTTGTCCGTGACCAAACGAGTCTCGGTGTACGTGTGACCCGTTCCTACTATCGTCAGCCATGCTTGACGCCCGCGACAGCATTTCACGGTAGCCGTGAAGATCATTTTCCGATGCCGAATCTAGAAAAGCTTGAATCTGCAAAGCTCTGTATAAACAGGCTGAGCACCAACCAATCAGCAGAAACATGTGAGACAAACCTGTTGTAGTACATCATTCCACGTACGGTACGTGCGAGAGTCTGGCCACGGTAAGAGGCCCAAAGGCGAAGTTCCAGACCTTTGTCCGCAGTCCACAAATCAGATTCTTTTATGCCAAGACTGCTCATACGTTCCAAGAAGTTGATCCACTCGTCTTCGTAACAAAAACAAAAAAGAAAAAGAAAGTTCAGCACTTGCGTCTAGAAACAGCAAAGCAGAAACCTGGAAATATCTTTTGGAGGTAAAACAGAATTGAGACTCCCTCCTCATTTTCATCAAGGAGCTCGTTCTTGGTGTACAAAACGGATTCGCTATAGTAGGGTGTTAAAACACTAAAGGACAACATCTTTTCCACCTGTGAAAGAAGGAAGTAAGCTAAACAAGATTTCAAGAAACACTCACCTGAGGAGCGCGAGGCATTGTCATAAAGAGAGAGTTACTGAAAAAGGAAATGCGTCGCCTTGCTTCCAAGTTGTGCGGAACACGTGAAATAGACTCTTTAGTACTTAATACAATGTGTACTCGTTTCAGCTGAGGGAAGAAATCGTTGTCTTCAGGGTCTGGTAGAATAATAGACTCAACGAAAGGAAGTGGTTGATCATTTCTCCGCGGTATTAAATAGTCTTGAAGACCTTTGTGCTTTGGAAAATCGCGCACTACAACATCAAATAGATTTTGTAGAGCCGTTACTACCTGAAAAACATGCTTTTTACAAAATTAAGCACGGAAATAACTCGGGCAAACCTCTTTCGTGTCCTCCTGAGTCGGCCTTTTTAACAATGCTGCTATCAAAGGCAATACCCGCGAGTGAATGTTAGGAAGCTCATAAAGGTTGTATTCGTTGCAAAACTTCCCCTGGCTAAGAGCGCTGTCGATCTGTTCAAACAGGCGAGTCAGGGTAGCGTGATCTTCGCTTTCCTCGTTGATAATTTTGCGAAGAAGTATATGTTTCAGGCTTTCATAGCATTCGATCACAGCGGATGGACGGAATTCGTTTTTACAAATCTTTCTCCACAACCTCCTGTCAGTATCCTGCCAATCTCTAGCTTGCCCAAGAGCCATTAAAATCTGAAGATGAAGTTCGTAAAAGAAAAGAAAAAAATAACGAACTAATGTACCTCGTTTCCCAATAAAAACGCTGGCCATTGCAGCACAGAGATGTTCCACTTGGGAGTCGGAACTTCCAGCAAATTGATTTCGCTACAGGTAAAAAGATTAGTAGCCGCACGTAACTACTGCTAATACCTGTTGGAAACCAGATCTTCCTCTCTGAAGGTGTTAATAATTTGATTCCAAACGTGCGCAAACCGCCGCCCTTCTATTTGTTTGGCCTCAATCTGCCAATACTCGTTAGAACACTACCTATTGCAACTGTTTATTACCTTCTTGTAGGGAGACCCAAATCCGTAACGAAGTTTTAACCTGTGCATCAAGTCTTTAAATGCTGCCGACCAACTTCCCCATAACCTGCATGCAAGTTCTCCCATTAGAACAGTGGGCAAAAGTACAGAAAACAAGTACCTGGGCCTTAAGAGTGATTCTTCAGGCATAAGGTTGAACTGAATGGCACTAGCAAAGAAAGGAAACCGCAATCTGAATTGATGGATGCTTCTGATCTGAAGTGTAACAACAATGAATGTGGCAACTTCTTCAAAAGAGAGCGCATACCTCACCAATATGTGAAAATAGGCCAATCAAGGCACCAACTAATGACGAGAACACAGAGTACCAAATTTGTGTGTCCATAAAATAAACCTGAACTAACTCGGTCAATTTTATATTCCAAGCAGAAAAGAGACGTACCAGCACAACCGGAGCCCACAAACATACCGCTGCAATACGATTTCCTGTAATATAAACGGAGTAAGCTTGTACTCTAAAAGACGATCATCAGCATACCTCTTCCAAAGAACTGGTGCCACCTGTATTCGACGTTTGTAGTCCGAAGTGTGGCTCTTGTTGGTCGCACTAGTGGACTGATCTGTTTTAGAAAAAAAGAAAAAAACGATTACAATGGCTTCTGATAAAAATGTGGGGCACCTGGAATGCGTAGCTAAAAGAAAACTTAGCCGCCAAAACCATTATCCAGAATAATGTGTACCTGATTTTTATCACAAAACTCAGCAGTAGGAGGAATCCAGAAATACTCACTTTATGTTGTCATAAAGACTCTCACGTAACCCACGGCCGACAAAAAGCCTCGTCTGCATTATTAGAATCAGCAAAAGCTGCGTATTTGAATTCAGCATACCTGAAACCACCACGTCATCAAGTTGAAGATTTTCCAGTCCTTGTTCTCGATGAAGTTCCGCACCCAGGGTAATATGAAGAGCAGTAGAGCTAGAACTTCCGGGGCTATAAATACCAATGCAGCTTCAATTAACATTTTCAGCCGCTGGTTTGCTGCGTTCGACCAAAATCCGTCCTGCCGGCGCTGGCGCCACATTTGACTGCTCGGACAAAAAGTTTAGTAAACCCGCCGATAAGAGTCTGATCTAGTTACCTGTAAAGGACTGCAAATACTATAACCCAAACAACGCCCGTAACGACCTTTAAGACCATTCTTACTCCAAACATCATGGTCTCTCTTGACATAAGTCGCCTTTGCATCCAAATGTCCAACACAGCTGAACCCAAATATCAAGCGTCAATATGGCTTGCAAAGATCTTGTTTACCTTGAAGGATGCGGAGCCCAGCCCAGGTAATGAATAAACTAAAAAGGTGTAGCGAGATATCTTTTTGTCGTAGTGCAGTCCATGGAGGCCCTGCTTCCTCCCAAGTAATTAGAATTGATGCCTGTACAAAATGGTGCTGTTAAAAGGACAACATATGTGCACAATGTACCTGCAAGAAAAGTATATACATAACCCATAGGCGATCAAAACTCCTGTATAAGTTCCAGAAGGAGCGTTGCTCTACAAATCCAGTTTTTCCAACTTTATGTGTCAGCATGCCCTGTGGAAACTTAAGAGTAAGTTAACAAGTTCAGCTTACAGTGCTAGCATACCGCAGGCTTAACAAAATAATTGCTTCCCAAGTTCAATGGCCATCCTAAATGTTGAAAGCATCTGTTACTCCTGAGCAGGTAAACATGTGCAAGAAAACTGTTAGATATCCATAGCAGGAACTTCATACCAAAAGTATTCGTTCATATCATCGTAATTCCTCCATGCCGAATGAGGAGCTTTACCATCCTTGCTTGCCGCAGCTTCCTGCCGTGAAACATACGTTACAAAATTACGGTCTTAATGGTTCTCAACTCACTTCTTTGACGATGGCATATAGTGGAGTAATCACGTTCTTCAAATACCCATTTTCCCCGTGGCTTACAGGGCGAACAGGCATGGCTGACATTTCGTCAATGTAGTCTTCCAGTATTTGATTCAGCTCGTCAACCATCTGGGACCCCATTTCAGCCCACAAACGTGTGGAAGAGAGAACTTACATTGTGGAATATGAAGGCGAGGCACTCGGGCATAAACCGAAGGTTGGCTGCCTCACCCCACACAAGAAAGTAGAGTGATATATAAAGTAGCTCCAGCCTCTCATCCACCCTTCCGTCATATACTCTAGTTCATAAAAATGTAAAGAGTTAGAATCAATGAAGCATCTCCAGTACTTGAGTTTGTTTGGCCGTCCCATGAAGCTGCACCATAGTCTGTAATTCTTGAGCACTTTCTTACGTAGCTTGACTACCACCTTCTGGTCTAGCTGCACAAGTTTAAACCACGATGAACGAAAGACAGAAACTAGCACACGAAGTAACCTTACCCGATCGATGGGGTCTGGCGGTGGCGTGACTCTCATTTGCGAGTTCGCAAGCAGAAGTATCAAATGCTCTCTTTGGTTCTTCACATTTCCTTCCTGGATAACAGCTTGAGTCAAACTAGCTCCTCAGAGATGACACGCACCTGAAATCCAAAGAAACCTTGAAGCCAATCGAGAAGATCCATCCCTTGTCTCCATTGAAAACCGGGAGGTTTTCTCAATTCTCCCACCGTCTGTAGTGCGGCAACAGCTGCCCGGACCTACACGCAAACAAACATCAATACGAGAGATACACAAAAAACTAAGCTTTTGCTAGAAAAATAGAATCGCGCCGTACCTCTGGAAAATGTAGCGCGACGTGATCCGCCAAGACATCGTGCACAGGAATGATGTTATACGCGGCCCCGGGCAGAGCTGGATTCATCCTCGCTGTTGCTGCTACGAGCTAGAACCACGCTAGAACCCTAGAACTGACAGCTGAGCTCGATCTCGCGAAGAACTACTCGGGACGCATCCTCCCTGCTGCCGCACACATGCAATCTTAGACCGACGATCTGGAAGCGCGTACCTGACGTCGCCCGGAGCTGGAACCCTAGAAATGTGCTTCAGCCGGGCACCACTATCCGCGATCCCGCGAGGAAAGAGAAAAACGCGCCCGTCATTGCCCGTCTCTTGACGGCCCCAGATGCGCCTTTTTCCAACGGAAGCAATCGAATTGATACTGTTCCTAGCCGTTAGATAAACCTGTATACGGACTTTCCAATGCGAGATCTTTGTGGATTTTCCTTGAGCTTTACATCCATTAAAAACCATGGAGAGAAAATGTAGCACTCGTGCAGTAAATTTTTTGCGCATGGAAGTCTCGACCGATCACCAACTTCAATATCGATTCGATCAAAGCGATCGAAAAATTAAATGGGAAGTGCTCGCATTCAGGGAAGAACTTTCCAGGTGATCGTGTTTTTACTTACACGGGGGTAAACTTCAACCATGGTAACTTCTCTGGGAGCTTTTCTCTTTCTCAGTCCCTTCCAGGCGGGCTTACGAGCTTCATGTTCCGCGCGTACGACCGCTTCTGGGCGACGAGATCGTCGACCGCCCGTACGCCGCCGTACCGCCCCGCGGCGGCCTTGCCGAGGGGCGTGGGAGAGTTCGTCTTCTTTGGCGAGCCCACCGGCGCTGGAGGTGGCGAGCAATTCGGCGAGGCGAATGGAGTTGCGTATGGAGTTCGTATCTGGAAGTGTCCCGAGGCTCTTCCTCGCCGGATGATGCTGCTGTTTAGATTCGAGTGAGCTGCTGCTGTTACTGCCGGGGAGTTGATTCGGCCTTGTCTGGCAGCGTCGTCGATGAACAAGACGTCGTCGATCCGAGCGAGGATGTTGAATGCCAAGCTCTCCAACACCCGCGAGTAGCTCTCCAGAATGGAGTGACCAACGTCCTAGAACGAAAGAAAGCTCTCATGAGAAACTCGAACGAAGCTTTGAAAGATCTTTACCCGGTTGTATTGGATCTTGTTCACGTCAAGCACGCTCTGGGGAAGTCCTGGAAACCGCTGCTTGAAGCTGAGAAGCAAGCTCTCCGCTCTCTCGACGAGCGTTTGCCTGTCAATCTCGGCGACGAAGTCCTTCACCTTTCCCCACGAAGACTTTGCATTTTGCTTGATCATGTCTTTCTGCTGGTGCTGCTGCTGCTGCTGTATTTGCTGGTGCTTCTGTTGATGGATCTTCCGCTGCCAGATGTGGATGGCGGCCTCCACTCGGTTGGCCGCCTCGAGTGCGTTGTGCTCGGTCGAGAGATTCAAGTGTTGGAGGAGTGCGTCCGGAGAGAACTTTTCGGCTGTCAGTCCTCGGTACATCACCTCTCCAAGGCAGGACTTGCCATTCTACACGAGACCAGCCATCTTTACAGAATGAAACCGTGACAAAGCTGGATGCAACTTAAGTGTGTACCTTTGGGAGCGATTCCCAGAACAAGTCCGGGACCTCCATCTCCGAAAGGACTTGCCCGTTGATCGCCACGGCTGCCTTGAGGATCTGACTCGTGCAGTCTCGTTGGTTCTGGAGGCTCTTCCTGGCTTCGTCCGAGAGTCCATTGGGAGGCACCCGAGGCGTTGGAAGCCACCATTTCTCTTCCTGCCTTTGCAGCGAGTGCTGCTTGTTGTTGTTCTTGTTGGTGTCGTCTTTCTCGGAGAGAATGATTCCTTGTTCCACATACCAGAAGTCTGTCTCTTTGTAGCTATCGAGGGACTCCTACATGCAACAAAAACAAGACTGGCTAAGAAAGAAGAAAACAAACCATTCTAAACTCCAAAATTCTGGTGCTGACTTACCAGTAGCATTGTGTCCAGTTTTCGCAATGCGGGCAGATTGATGTGGATGTCTGAGCGAGGCCTGGTCACCATAACCTGCAAAGCACATGTGTCAAGGAAAAAAGAGGAGAAAAAAGAGATCTGGCTATGACCTCCAGATTGCTTCCATCTCTGAAGCTCTGCCAGGAAGGAACCAGCTCCACAATGTAGTCGCTTACGGAGAGAAGCCACTCCATTTCCCGTCGCCACATTGTTTTTCTTTCGTGAGACAGAGGCTCCAACCTCCAAAGCTCTCCAAACACGGACGCTGTATCGTAAAGAAGAAAAAAAAAAACAAGCCAACAAAAACAAAAGGTAGCTCGTCAGCTCTACAAGTATAGCCAAGCCAGAGTACGAGGACAAAGAGAGAGCTCAAATCAAGTACTCTACCAGCAAGATTTGTGATGGCGTTGGAAATCGCGAGCGCTGTGCAAACGCCTTTGGCGCCTCCGGACATGTCTTCTCCAAGAAGAAGCTTCGCAAACTTCTCCTTCATCATCTCTACTTCTGAAAGAACAAAAAATATGTCATGTCGATCGAAGAGAATAGAAAAGAACACCACTCTCATCCAAAACCTTGAGAAGCACTAGGCTCTCATTCATCCAAAAACTTTGTGGAGAAACACTAGACTCTCATTCATCCAAAAACTTTGTGACTCCCATTCATCCGATTGGCTTCTCCCAATCTTTGTGGTGAAACACTACTCTCACTGGACAAACACTCAGCACAAGCAAGCAAGCAAACATGGTGGTTGCATTGGATTCTTAAAGAACGAACGATAAAAAAAGTACCAACGTACCAGAGGCATTGGTTTCACGCTTGACCCTCTTCTCCTCCCACGCGAAGCTGCTCACGCTCTTGCTATTCAGGCTGCTAGTGCTCACAGATTTCGTGGTAGAAGAACACGAGACCTCGGAATAGGAGCGCTCCCGCCTGCAAAGCGGCCATCCCAGCGGCGACGCATCGCTGCTGCTAGTGCTGGCGAAATCTTCCAGGAGCTCCTCCGGATCGTCGCGGCAAATTCTGGCGTCGTAGCTAGTGCTGGAGCTCAGGCCGTCGAGCAAATCCTCACTGCTATCCATTGACAGAAGCTATTTCGCCCCCATCCAAGAAAGAGAAGAAAAACTGGCCGGAGCTCCACCCACCTAGCAATCGCAAGAACGACCAAGAGGAGAAATCTAAGAAGCGATGCTGCGCATGGGAGAATGATTAAGTCTTCTGGCGACAGCGATGATCGAAGCGAGTGGTAGCGAAATCCCTCGCCGCTGTCGAGCGCTCTCGGTGCGATGGCGTGACCGAAATGATGAATCAGTCGATCGATCGCAATGCAATGGCAAGACACACAGATTGATCGATCGCGCGAGGCTCGCGAGGCGCGACTTGGTGGAATGGCCGCCCAGAGGAGGAAATCTTCTCTGTGCGATGGAAGACGAGGAAGAATCGGAGCGATGAATTATGGGAGACGCTACTTGAAAACAAAGATTGCCGATATCTCTTTGTCTTCATCCCCCGCTTCGCAAAGGCCTTCTTTTGCTCAAAAAAATAGAAAAAAAATTCCACCTTTATAATTTTTTTAACATATTTACCCTATTTACCCTTGCGCCTAAAAGAAGGTAACGGAAAAAATCCATGCCACGTGTTTGCGTACCGCATCCGGCGTCATCCCAGCCGCACGATGGACCCATCTAACGGGCAAGCTCCGCCTCCAAATCTTTAAAGGCGCCGGCGGCATTGGACGTGTGTTAATTGCGTTGCCGGCCGGCGCTTGGCACATTTCCGTACAAAAGATATCGCGTACGAACGTTACATTTAGTCAAAAGAGTGACGGCCGTTAAACTGCTGGCGCGCGACGACGACGACGACGACAAGTACGGTAACGAAATGTGATGCTGGCGTATAAATGCTTGATTGAGAGTGGCCCCCATGCATGCTTTCCTTCCTTCGTTTATTCGCTGCTAGCCCTAGGCTAAAGCAAAAGTTCCTTTCGTTGGATTGGCATTTTTGATGGATTGGATTGGATGGAAGGAAGTAGTGGAAATAGTGGTTGTATAAACACTCGGATGTGACCGTATATACGCTTCACGCCTGCCTGTGATTGATAGTCACATACTTGTCGATTTTCTTTTCAGTCGATCGATGCTTTTCACTCGACGAGCTGGAAAGTCAATGCCTTGGGAGATATAAAGTCCACACCCCTACCAGTAGCTCGATCCTTTCTTCGTTTCCATGATCTCGATCTTTCCGATTACGAGGATCACTGCATTGTAGTTTATTAGAAGAAAAGCTTTAGGATTGCCAAGCTCTTACGTCATGCCCCTCGTTTAGTGTCGATAAGTAACTCACTCTGCGCGAGCGGCAGCGACAAAGAAAACTTTAAAGAAAGAGCCTCGTGTACCTTTTTTCAAGTACTACCAGGGTCCACGAGTACTCCATCCTTGCTGGTGGCAGCAACAGGATCATCCAAGTGTTGCTCGCTAGAGAAACGAGCTTCTTCTCCTGGCGCAGCTTTTCTTTGAGTGGAGCAGCAATTCTCCGGCTGGTTGATGCCAAAGAATCCCGCCAGCACAGCCACAGCGCCAACAACGTTGACAGTTCCTGGAGCATGTCCACGAAGAGAATCAACCACCGCTGCTATTGGCACTTGGAGTGTGAGTCCAGCCGTTGCCACTGTTGTGGACGTGAGAAGCACTGCTTCGGCCCATAAGTAGTCGCTCAGGACGTTGTCCAGCATCCCTGGAGACAAAAACACGCGTCAGAGAAGAAAAAAGCACACTAGAAACTCGACCTTTGCCGACGATGAGTTCCCATTGTGTGGCCGTGAGCCTGTGAATCGGCTCCAATCCTGTGAAGTGTAGAAGCACCACGACCGGACAAAAGATGAGAGCGTTAAACAAACCAAGATACCCCAGGAAGAGAGCCGTGCTAACTTCTTCCGCGGACGAGTTCTCGTCCGGGAACTTCTTACGTATCAAGCTCGTATAGCAGGCGTAGAGCATCGCGGACAAAAGGCAGACCATATCTCCCACCACTGGATGAGGCGCTGAGTCTTTTTGCAGGCTCTCGGAGTCTCCAAAAGCAACAACGGCGCTACCAGCCATGCAAAGAACGACGCTGACGATTTTCAACACCGTGAAAGTCTCGTTGAGAAACATCACGGACGCTATAAACGTGAACAAAGTCGAAGTACTGCTTAGAACGGTGTTCGACTGCGATCAAAAGAAAGAAAAATCAAAACTTGAGGTTTTAAGAGCAAAGAAAGTGTAACTTACAGTGACTGTCGTGTACTTCAAGGAAAGATTGAACGTAAACTGCGCGAAGAACCACACCGGACAGATGAGAGCACTGATCTTCGCGGTTTCCCTTCTCGACAATAATCTCCTCGCTGTGGAACTGGAGCTCTCTTCTTCGTCAGACACAACCTCCGAGCCACCTTCACTGGAAGCTTGCTTGTTCCTTGCGTCTGCCACAACCTCCGAGTCAACTTCACTGATCTCGGCACTGGAAGCTTGCATGTTCCTTGCGTCTGCCAAAGATCCACCAATTTCAATGTCGGATCCAGCACCGGTTTCCAAAAGCTTGGCCTTCTCAGCGTTTGTAAGAACATGGTTCTTAGAGGCCGCCTCTCTCGTCTTGCGCGCCGCGTAGCGTCGCTTGATCCACCACACCAATTCCACGATCGGTATGTAAACCATAAACAAGCTGTTGCAAATGTAGGCGATGAGAAAGGGCGAAATCCCGCTATCAACGACCGATTGCACCACGAAGCTAGCTGCGATCCAGATGACCGCAACCAAAACCACGCAAACCAGTCCTACGATCCAATTCCATGTCGCGCGCAGCATTCTTACTCGGCGAGCTGATCTAAGCTGCGATTACCTCGCTCGCGCGCATGAACCCTAGAAATGCCTTGGAAATGTAAGCCCTAGAAGGGCAGAGGAATGCCACTTGGCTAGAACCCTAGGCGATGATTCTTCTCCACAGCGCAGCGATGATCGGGATGGTGCGACACGGATGCGGCGCTCTTCCGAGAAGGAGAATTGCTGTCGCAGCCGCCGCTTTGCAACGAATCAAGCTCCAGTCGCGGTGGAATCCTGGGGCAAGAATGTCGACCGAGGCCTGGAGCACGGAGCTCGCCTCGATTCCTCTCCTCCTCCAGGGGCGACATATTACGGTAGGTCCTCCAAGATTGAGATGGATCGATCGATAGTGATCATTTGCCCTCTCTAGATTCCTGACGATATCAAGAGCTATGTGGAGGACAAAATGGCCGACGCGATAATCGAGAGGAGCCATATGGTGAGAGAAGTGGATGTTCGCTTGTCAATGCGTGGAGAAGCCGAGAGTGGTCCAAGACTCTATCGCTGTGAGGTTTGAGTTCTTCCGTTTTTTTTTTCTCGTGAAGGCTTTAGTGAAGGCTTTGCTTTTGTTATTAGGCTACATTGTTCACGAAGAAGCATGGAGTTCTTCGTGCGGAAGAAGACGGTGGAAACATGCACGCTTGCGTTGATAATGCATCACGGCTTCTTGGGAAGAAACTTCTCAAGCTCAAAGATAAACTAGGACTCCACGGACGCCTCCGTTCCAGAGGTCGGATTCAATCCCTAGACAAAGCACCGATTCCTCCTTTTCCAACCAACGACGAGGAGATTGAAGATGTTATTGCAGAGGCCGAAGATCTGGCAGTAGAAACGGAGGTAAGCAAAGAACATGTTAGTTCTTTTTTCTTATGAGGAACTTCGCAGATTATTAGAGAGAAGTTTTTTGACATGCTTCCTATGCGGCCGGAGGATGCACTAGAGGAAATGAAGAACATTGGGCATGATTTCTATGCATTCCGGAATGTTAAAACTCGTAAGTTACCACCATTTTTTAATCCTCCTTTCTTCTTACCATGTGTTTCAGTCGAGATAAATGTTTTGTACAAGCGCAAGGAAGGTGGATATGGATTGATAGGCCCAACAGCTATACCTCAGAAGCTTGAAGAGGATCCAAAAACTTGATGGTTGGTGTTCTACACTAACGTTGGTCGTTTCTTCCTGCAGCAACAAAACAAAAAAAAATGTTTTTCCAACACTGTATGCGTGCGAAGAGGACTCATGAATCTAATCTCGGTAATTTCACTTGGTGCTTAGGGTTCATATGCAGCTATGGCGTGTACCTCATCGCCTTCGCTGCCCTGTATTGTGAACAAAGGTTTTTGGTTTTATATCTTGCGTCATTTGCTTCAGTGCTCTCCCTTGCTACGCAGGTGAAAACGCCTGTTTGGAGATGCGCAATTTGGTTTCTGCTCGGGTCACTGGTATGTATTCTTTGTAGATTTTATTTTTATTTTTTTTCCTCTCATCAACAAGGCAATGCAGCTGTAGAAAGCCGAAGTTTTTCACTTGCAAGACGAAGTTTTGCAAGTGGACACAAGAATGTGATTGCCAAACGAAGGACGCCCTGTGTGCGAGTTAGAGCCCAAGTAGCAGAAAAGCCTACCATTGACAATGCTACTGGTTTGTTTGTGACAATCTTGAGAAGGATGTTACTGACTTTTTCAATTCTGGCAGTCCTGGTTGTCGGCGGGGGTGGTGTTGGAATGGCTGTTACCAGAAATCTTGCCAAAGCCGGTTCATGGGTGACCGTCTTCCAAAGAAGTGAAAAGTTCCGCAAAGAAGTGGAGGAGCTGGGATCAATGTTGGCTATTGGCGATGTTCTTGAGCCATTGACAGTGGAGAAGGCCTTCAGATCAAACTCGTTTGATGCGGTTGTCTGCACTGTTGGTAAAAAAAGAAGAAAACATTCTCTGGCTTTGACTCTTTTATTTCACAACTCTTGTAGGTGGAGGAACTCAAAACGTGAAGGTGGACCAGGTATATAACTCTACGAATTCTAAGCATGTTTCTCTGATACGGTAAATCTGATAGGATGGCACAATTAATGTGATCAATGCTGCAAAGAAAGCAAATGTTAAGCGGTTTATCATGGTAAGGAAGTTTTATGCGTAGCAATGGCACAAAACATCTTGTTTCCATTCCAGGTATCCAGCATTGGAGCTGGAGATAGTGAAAAAGCCATCGATGCAAAGGTAGGAATTTTTCCTGTCAACGAAACTGAAGAAGCCGATTTCTTTTACACTTTTCTGCATTGCAGACTTTAGCAACGTTGGGTGAAGTCCTAAAAGCAAAAACCGTTGCCGAGGAAGCTCTGAAATCCAGTGGCTTGGACTACACCATCATTCGCCCTGGAGGCTTGAACAACGATGTGAGGAGAGTTTTTCCGTCAAACTGTTCCTTACACGCTATTCGCAACAGGCGCCATCGGGAAATGGAATCTTGACAGAGAATTCAAGCGTGGTGGGGCTCATATCCAGGACCGATGTCGCATCACTTGTAAGTCCCTGTAGCTATCGATGATTCGGCGTTTGAAGGCAAAAATAACTCTTGCAGATCTTTCGCATTCTCTTTGACGAGCGAACTTACGGGAAGACCCTATCGGCTATAGACTCCCAGAGGGTATATATTTTCACGAATGTTCTCGGTTACTCGTTCGCGGAAATTCTGACGAACCCCTTGTTTATCTTTTTACAGTTGTTTCCACCTACAACTTCTTTGGACGGAATAGAACTGCTGGCGTTAAGTTAAATCTCTTCCTGCAGACAGAATAGGCAAGGAAAACTTGACTCTTTCTTCTGCTACTGTTGTTTGGGACTGCCACGAAGATTGGAATTGATTTTTCAATGAAGTCAGACTCATAAACTGGAAATCGTCTACAGATCCTTATAAGCATTGTTGTCGTGGAGGGCGTGGAGTCATGGCAAACTCAAACTCTAGGACAGCATGGCTCTACTACTTGTTCTTGGACGGCACTTCTACCTTCGATGCTTGGCTCAATGCCTCTTCGTTCCAGGTACTGTGTCTTGTTTCTATGGCAAATCTCTGGTACTAAATTTGTTCGTTTGTGGTTCCTTGCAGATTTCCCAGGTTCTTCTCACATTTCCCTACTCTTTCGCGCAATTGGGACTCGTCTCGGGGATTTTATACCAGCTACTTTATGCTGTCATGGGCTGCTGGTCGTGTTACATGACAACCAGTCTCTACATAATTTACAAGGAGCGACGAGCGAAGCAAAACAACCCCATGGATTGCCACGAATATCGGAGCATCCAGGCAATGCTTCGTTGAGGTTTTCGCCTTGCGCCATTCTTTTGTTTTCTAGTGCTCATCCTCTTCCTTGATTCCTTACAGTGGTACGAGGTGATGGACGGACTCTTGGGATGGCGGTGGAAAATAGCGGGCTTAGTCTTCAACACCGGTGATCAGTTTCTCACCTGCGTTATCTTCCTTGTAGGATGTTCAAGGTAAATCAACTCCATTTTCTTCTTTTTTTCTTAAAAAAAATTACGATTTTGTCTTATGAACAGTCTCACACATTCACTCAACCATCATCTCAACAAAAGAACGTGGACGCTTGTCCTCACAGGCTGCTTTTTAACAATGGTTTTGATACCACGGGCGCAGCACTACAGAATTTGGTCCTCCATCGGGATTGTGGCGACCACCTACACTGCTTGGTACTTGACAATCGCTAGCATACTCCTCGGTCCAGTGAGTCACTCAGCCCTTTCGATTATGTCTTCTCTTTGCTAACTTTGAGAACAATCACGGTAAGCTTCTAAACAGGAACCCGATGTCAAGCACACGGCTCCACCCAGCACAGTACAGTACTTTGTTGGAGCGACCAACATGCTCTACGCATTCGGGGGACACGCGATTACCATGTAAGTAGTAGCAGACGCTTTATCATTTTTTAGTCTCTCAAAACACTGATTAATATCGATATCGAGCAGTGAGATAGCCGACGCGATGCGAGAGCCAAAGAAGTTTAAGGTGGTCTACTTCTACTGCATTCTCTACATCCTAACTCTCACGCTGCCATCGGCCATCGCAATGTACTGGGCCTTTGGAGACACGATGCTCCACAACACTTACGCGCTCGCGGTTCTTCCACGCTCCAAGTTTCACGTTGCAGCAAACGTTTTGATGCTCTTCCACCAGGTAAAATTTTCCAAAACTTTGGTATGGATCTCGAAACTCGCACAAACCTCCAGTTCATGCAGTTCGGCTTCATGGCGCTCCCCATTTTTATGAAGTGGGAGAAGCTGCTGGGAATCCACAGGTCCAAAAACTACTGGCTCAAGGCGGTGTCCCGGATTCCAGTGGTACTGCTCGTCTGGTTTTTCGCGATCATGACACCCTTCACGGGGCTCATCGACTCCATTGTTGGATCGATCTTCACGAGCTTCAGCGTCTACATTATCCCGTGCTTGGCTCATATGGTCCTCCACAAAACATTCACCGCGAGGAAGGTAATGCTCTATCTTTATCATTTTTTCTCTCTGTGTGTGTGGGCGTTCTTGTGCTCGATCGATATGACTCGAAAGGTTTGGTTTTGTAGGACGCGATCGAGCAGCCTCCATTTTTTATGCCGAGCTGGGTCGGAATTTACTGCCTCAATCTCGCTGTTGTGTTATGGGTTTTGATCGCGGGTGTGGGACTTGGAGGATGGTCCGCGATCTCCACGCTTCTCGAGAACATCCGTAGCTTTGGTCCCTTTCCCAAATGCTTCCAATGCCAAGCAAAGTAGAGGCTTGACACTGCTTTTGAGCGCGAAACAGATTTAAATTTTAAATTTGTTTGCTCGGGTATTTAGGGTTCTAGCTTGGCGATGGCGTTGAGGGCCGTGGTGCCGTGGACGCTGCCGGGAGCTGCGCCATTGCAGCTCAATGCTAGCAGCAGCGCCATCAGGTAAGGCGGCATTCTTGCTCTGGAGTGGGAAAAGAAATCGTCGCTATAGATGTGACGCGCAGGAGAATCCAAGGGCGGCGACCGTGATTTCGCGGAGGAAGAGCCTGGTCGGGTTCACGCTAGCGATGGGTCTGGCTGCGAATCAAACGGCTGCACTGGCCAGAGAGGTCGAAGTGGGAGCCTATCTTCCCCCGGTCGAGTCCCTTCCAGGATTCGTGCAATTCAAGGCTTCTGGCAGAGATACTCCAGCGCTTCGCGCCGGTAAGTGAAAACGATGGTCTGGTTCTACTGTGAGCCTAAGAAAGACCTTCAAATCTTCCTCTCTCTTGTTGTTTCTATCTTTTTTTCGATTCCTGAGCGCTAAAACTTTTTTTGTCTTCCATCTCAGGGAACGTTCAGCCTTACGAGTTTATTCTCCCATCGACTTGGAAGCAGCAGCGAATCGCAAACATCTTGTCTGGGAATTATTGCCAGCCAAAGTGTGCCGAGCCTTGGGTGGAAGTCAAGTTTGAGGATGACAAGGAAGGGAGCCTGCAAGTGGTGGCAGCTCCCATGGTCCGGCTTACAAACAAACCAAACGCCAGGATCGACGAGATTGGCAGTCCCGAGAAGCTCATAGCTGCGTTGGGACCTTTTGTCACCGGGAACAGCTACGACCCTGATGAAGTGATTGAAACCTCCGTGAAGGATCGAGACGGAGAAAAAGTGAGCTTTCGTTTGGTTCCTTCCTCACTTACTAGCTTTCTTTCACAGTTCTATTGCTACACGCTTGAGACGCCATACGCAAAGACTGGCACTCACAACTTGGCAGCTGCGACGTCTAAAGGCAATGTGGTGCTGCTCTTTGTAGTGAGCGCAAGCGAATCACAGTGGTCCAAATCGGAGAGCGTGCTGAGAACAATTCTCGACTCGTTCAAAGCCTGAGAACTCTGGTAAGCAGGAGCTACATATTTACCACGCATAGAGCTCGCAATTACGTGTAAAGTTCTTACCCCACAGCACTCGTAGAAGGTACTTTGAAAGCTTGACGTTTCAATTTTTCGAAAGCCGTCGTTTTTGGCAGGGACAGAAAAGTCTTTTTAGCGTAGCACGATTTCGGCTGCGCGTACTTACATGAAAGTAAATATTGAGAAACATGTGAGAGGCACGACCAGGTTCTTGTCGCGAAGATGTTTGTTGATTTTTTCCCTTTTTGTGAGAAACGAGTTGACAGCTGCAGCTGTTTTGCCAGACAACCAGGATCGACGGGTTCCTATATCTTTTCGGGTAATATTGTCGAAACTTGGATGTGTTGGAATCTTGTACGAAGGTTGTTTGCCATGTCCAACTTGATAGATGCGTCCGGCAATGATACGGCAGCGCCGACCACTTCCACTCGCTCCAAATAATGTGGTGCGAGTTTTATTTTTCCTCACCAGTTCGTCAAAAAGGGGGAAAGGAGAAAAGCCATGGCTCTGTTTCTCTTTTTCGTTTTCCTTTCTTTTATAAACCAGGTGGCCTGTTCTGTGCTATCGATCCCTGAGGAACTTCAATTCAACTCCTCCTTCCAGCAAAGGCAAAGTCAAAAATGGGAGAGGTAGTCTGAGTTTTTAATTTTTGCTTTGTTTTTGTAACAATGAATGCCACTCGCAGGCTGTGACTGTGGAGTTGATGGTGTCAATGCATTGCAAAGGGTGCTTCAGAGCCGTGAAGAAGGCAATCAGCAAACTCGATGGTAAGAAAACAGGAGCTCTCGTAACGCGTCATGTATCTTCCTGTCTCTGTTATCCAGGAGTAACTTCTTATAAGATAAGTTTCCAGGAGAAGAAGGTGATCATTACCGGCGATATCACTCCGGAGCTCGTTCTCAAGAAGATTAAAAAGACCGGCAAGACGGTAAGCTTGATCCCACCGCCGCCGCCACCAGAGCCAGAGCCTCAACCAGCGGCGGAAGAACAGCCACCTCCACCTCAAGAACAATCGCCACCGGCCGAAGAAGCAGCTGCCGCTCCACAAGAAAATCCTCCACCGCAAGACGAAGCAGTGGAGGCAAAGTAAAGTTCGTGCTTCATAGAAATCCTCGTAAAGCAAAAGGAAGTTTGAGGATAGTGTGATAGAATCTTATACTTTTCTATTCATGAAAACCATGTATCAAATTATTTCATCTCAGTCTTTGTACATTGCATTGTTTTTTAATAGTGTGATAGATTCATGGATAACTACCAAGTCTTTTCATGTCAATCTTATAACGTGTGAAGTTGTCTCATTGTTTTCCATGCAGTAAGTTTGCATCACTCTTGAAAACGTGCCTTGGTTCGAGGCTCATCACGGCCATGGTTGCTATTTTGGGGCCTTCTTATCTGACACACGCCTATTATTCGCATCTGCGGCGGTGCTCCGTTTATGCAATACACTTGTAGGGTTAAGCAAGCTCTACATTTCTTTTGGCGCGATCCTTGGCCGGGAGCTAGGGTTCTTCCAGCGATCGAGCTGCCAATCCTGCGCGACAGGCGGCATTCTATCCCGATCCAGCGATATGGCACGGCCTGGCGTCTCCCTCGAGGTTGGGGCGGATAAGGTTGCTGTGATCACGCTCCGGAATCCTCCCGTCAATGCGCTCGCGATGCCAGGTAGAATTTTGTCGAAATTTTCTAGCTGCCAATTGCGATTCATGGCTATCTTTGTTCTTCCATCCAGTGTTGTGGGGTTTGAAGGAAAAGTACGAGGAAGCTTGCTCCAGGGAGGATGTCAAAGCAATCGTTGTCACTGGTAATTCATTCTTTGTTTTTTTCTATGTATACGAAGGAGCTTCAAGTTAGAATTTTGATGATCTTGTAGGTGCAAATGGAAAGTTCTCTGGAGGTTTTGATATCTCCACGATCCAAGATGTTCAAGCGAGTGGTACGTGACCTCACTAGTTTACCATTTTGCGGGGAAATATTGTCTAACGTTTCCGATCCGACAGGAAATATGTCGGCTTTGGGACGCATCTCTGTGGATCTCATGACTAAGCTCATCGAAGGTATCTTGTTTGCTTGAAGCTGATTCGAATGCCGCAATTTTTGTACGTTGTCTATGGTGTTTAGAGGCGGGGAAACCATCCGTGGCAGCGATTCAAGGACTCGCTTTGGGTGGTGGACTGGAACTCGCCATGGTACAGTGTTTTTCGTTATTTATCTTGTGGGATGCTGATCACCGAGCTTTTGTCAGTGTTGTCACGCTAGAGTGGCAGCTCCAAAAGCGCAGCTGGGTCTACCAGAGCTGCAACTTGGTATCATTCCGGGCTTTGGAGGTAACTTGCCAGTACATTCCTAAGTTTGTGAACCTCAATGATCAATGTTAGGGACGCAACGCCTTCCTCGTCTTGTCGGCTTGACAAAGGCTATCGAAATGATGCTGGTATGCGTATGTTTTTGAAGGTCGTAAACCGATACTTGGTATCTCGCTGTAGTTGTCAAAACCGGTAACGTCGGAAGAGGGAAAGGAGTTGGGACTAGTAGATGAACTCGTCCCTGCTGAGGCTGTGCTTACTACAGCACGCAAAGTGGCTGTTGATATCGCTGAAGGACGCAGGCCATGGTGCATTACATTGCACAAAACCGACAAATTAGAACCTCTGGGCGAAGCTCGGGAAATCTTGAAATTCGCAAGAGCTCAGGCAATGAAAACCGCACCAAAACTAACACACCCGCACGTCTGTCTTGATGCGATTGAAGAAGGTATTGTAAAAGGCGGATTTGCGGGGCTGTTGAAGGTCTGTTTTGGAGATTTCATTTTGTTGCATCCTGACAAGTTTTTCTCTATCGCAGGAGGAGAAAGCATTTCAAGAAGCATTATTTTCAGATGCGTCCAAGTCCCTCACGCATATATTTTTTGCTCAGAGGTCAACCTCAAAGGTACACGTCATGCATTGATCAAATGATCGTTGTTGCAAGCTTTCCTTTTTGGCTTGGCAGGTCCCAGGTGTTACAGACGTGGGCTTAAAACCCAAAGTTGTAAAGAAAGTGGCTGTGATTGGTGGAGGTTTCATGGGTTCAGGAATTGTCACAGCGCTTATACTAAGCAACATCAAAGTTGTTCTGAAGGAAGTGAATTCTGATTTTTTGCAGCAAGGTCTAAATCGTGTTAAAGGTTAGTCAAGATTTTCCCAGCCCGTGCATGGCTCATGGCTTTGACGTACTTTTTCAGGCAACCTGCAAAGCCGTGTGAAGAAAGGCAAGCTTAGCAAGGATAAATTCGAGAGGGCTATCTCACTGGTAGAAGGTGTTCTGGATTATGAACAGTTTGGTAGCGTTGATGTGGTGATTGAGGTGCGTGTGTTGGACGAACCATCTTTACCGTTTCTAACGCGCGTTCTGTAGGCTGTGGTTGAGAACGTTGGTTTGAAACAACAGATTTTTGCAGACCTTGAAAAGTTTTGCTCTCCAAGTTGCGTACTGGCCTCCAACACATCAACCATTGATCTGAATGTCGTTGGCTCGAAAACTAAGGCACAAGATCGGATTATTGGTGCACATTTCTTCAGGTATGTGAGCTAGAGTGTTTCAAATTTCCGATTAATATTTTTGCTCGGCCCAGTCCTGCGCATGTGATGCCACTACTGGAGGTAGTGCGGACGGAGAAAACATCACCACAAGTGATACTTGATCTGATGACCCTTGGCAAGACAATAAAGAAAATTCCCGTAGTTGTGGGCAACTGTACCGGTTTTGCCGTCAACCGGGTCTTTTTCCCGTATACACAGGCAGCAACGATGCTACTGGACCTGGGAGTTGATCCGTATCGAATTGATCGTGCTATAACAGGGTTTGGGATGCCTATGGGACCTTTCAGGTACTTTTTCTTTAACTCTACTATTTCCTCACTATTCATGCTCGTCGTCTGCTGCTGTAGGCTGGCCGATTTCGTCGGTTTTGGTGTGGCTGTTGCCGTGGGACAGCAATACTTGAATTCTTTTCCAGAACGTGTTTATGTGTCTCAGATATTCCCTCTGATGTTTTCGGACAAGCGGCTCGGTATGTTTTCTATTCTGTTCTTAGCTGTCTGTACTGAGGAAGCGTTTTCCTTGCCAGGCGAAGGCAATCGCAAGGGCTTTTATCTATACGACGAAAAGCGTAAGCCACGTCCGGCTCCAGAGCTGCAAGGGTATGTCGACAAGTCGAGACAATTGGCAAAGTTAATGCCGGGTGGCAAGGTAAAGCCGTACCTTGTCTCTTGCGAGAAAGTCTAATGGGTGATGCCATGTTCTTGAACAGCCGATCAACATCACTGACAAGGAGATTGTTGAGATGATACTCTTCCCCGTCGTGAACGAAGCCTGCCGTGTGCTTGAGGAGGGTGTGGTGGTCAAAGCCTCCGATCTGGACATCGCAACAGTATTGGGGATGGGATTCCCTCCATATAAGTGAGTACCAGACTAAAGTTTTTCTGAGTGGGATAGTGTTCGTCGACTAATCTCCAACTTGATTGGCAGGGGCGGGCTTGTTTTCTGGGCTGACATGATTGGAGCTGGCTACATCGCATCAAAACTGAAGGAGTGGTCTGAAACGTATGGGAAGTTCTTCCAGCCATCGCCATTCCTCCAAGCACGAGCATCACAGGGTGGGAAACTGGTAAGTTTTATTTTTCCTTTCTACGTTATGCATTGTAGTATTAACTCTCGACCAACAATTCGATCTTCTGTGCTCCAGAGCGATCCTGTGAAGAGTGGCAAATCGCGATTGTAATTATTCGCGTGGACTGCCGCGGCGATACGAAGCGCTATCAAACGTGAAGAAGCTTGTGATCTTTTACTTGTGCCTTGTATAAATGCTAGACATTTTTAATTGGAAGATCGGACGGCTTGGATGCACAATCTCGGCGGAATGTAACAGGTGTGTAATGATTTAGCGCCGGCATTATGAAGATTCGCCGGAAGATTCGCCGGCGGCCGCCAGATAATGGATTTGATGAAAATCCCGATAATGGTGATGTCATCATGATCGTAAGAAAAATCGCGCCGTTGGATCGCCGGGGATCTACGATCTGGATTCGTCCATCACCGCATGCCGTTGGATACTGGAGAGCCATTATACAGCCGACACGTGTCATGACAATATCCGCACATTATGACCTGTCACGCAATATTCTGCATGATGTCGTTAGATGTTCACATCAACGGCCGGCATTCGATCTCTTAGATCAGACGGATTTCAACCGCATACGTGGCGAGCTGGTATCAGTCGATTCTACCAAATCCGACGATTGCGACGAATCCTCTACCGTATGAGCCAAATCCCCCCATATAAATACTACTGTAGTTTTCAACTCCCGCCGTAGTAACGTGATTTACAGCGCGGTAAATTCCTCTCTTGCTTCTTTGTTTTTCACCTACTGAGAATCAATCCAAGCATGGCTATGGCGCTAGGGTTTTGATTACCTGTCTCGCTGCCTGGCGCTCTCTCTCTTCTATCTCTCTCCCTCCGATCGAATGCGCAGGGGTATATAATTCGCGCTTGTCCGCCTGCTCTTTGCGCCGTGGATCGCCGTCGTC